CTGGCAAAAGTCCAGAGGGAAGGGGCCATCACTGTTCTGTTTGGTGAAGGACTGAAATGGAGGCTAGGAGATGTAAGGTCACATGAGTGGAGGTGAGGAGGCTTGAGGGTGTTTTGTTTTCTGTTTTTTCTAATTCTTCAGTGGTATATCCCTCCACTCCACATAGATTCTCACTTACGAGTCCTTTAAGCTGCATTTGAATTAGTTATTTAAATATGACTAACACATCTTACTAGTCAAATGAGTGTTTAATGGTTCCCATAGTCTCACATAATGCTTTCTAAGACTTTTTCTTCATCATTTTTTGCTTCGTGCCTGTTCCTGTAGTCTACTGCCCACTGTATGGACTGAAGGCAAGACTCCTTCCTCTCTCTCTCCCTGCAGCAACAATTTCTGTAGAACCTTCTACACCCTTCTGGGTAGTAGGCTGTGCAAAGGACACAAAGATTGTTGAAACATAGTCCAAGAATTGAATCATGTGAGAATTCTGAGTGCTTGATAGAAAACGCCAAGAAAACAAGACAAGGGTCTTGGGACCTCGGTTTCTTCATAACACAGAATTGTTCTTGGAATTGCGTCTTCCTGGCCCTCCCAGGTGTAGCAGATAGGAGTGAGTCCCTTTAGCTGTTGGTATTCATAGGCCTCTGAGGAAAACCTCTGAGGGAAAACACATTTTTGCCACGTGCAGCCTGTCCTTGTGACCATGAAGACTTGAGCCCAGGAGAACTCTACTCAGGTGACCTTCCGTAACCCTCAGGGTTTAAGCTGTCTGATGCTCTGAATAAAGCCAGCTATCAAATGAGACCTTAAACTGCCTCCTTTTCAGGCCCCACTCTCCCAGGTTCATGCCACCAGCTAGAGAAGTAAACAAAAGGTGGCTATGGAACATGTGGTCCTCGTCTTCCAAGACAGACAGGGAAAGAGGTGGGGAGGACTGCAGCCTAGGATTCAGGGCAACCGACACCCAAACTTTCTAGGGAGACCGAGGCAAAGCTCAGTGCCCAGGAAATTCCAAGCTGGTCTCTCTCTTGGGGGCTCTAGCAGGGTGAGTCATTAAGGCAGAGAAATAGAGTGTCACTACGTAGACTGGGTCCTCTTATTGGACAGATCCTCTAAGGGCTGGTTTGGAATCATGGACACAAGTCTTGGTTCCAATGCTACTTCTGGACATAAACTGACCAATCAGGAATATTTGACTAGGTACTTAACCTTTTGGGGAGATTTGGTTATGATTATATTCACTCACATAAAATGACTTGTAGGCTACAATGGAATATAGAAATGAAAGATTACTTCTGACCATTCTGATTACACATACTAGTGATAACTGATGCCACGAGTTTCTCTTTTATCGAATGCTTTCCGTTTTATAAACTTTTATTTTGTTATTATTTTAAAGTGTGTGTCTATGTGTCAGTGTATAGCTGAGTGCTGGTGCTTGTGGAAGTCAGCAGTATCAGGCTCCCTGGAACCGGAGTTACAGGCAGTTGGTTGTAAGCCACCTGATATGGGTGCTGGAAACTGAACTCAGGTCCTCTGAAAGAGCATCATTATGTACTCTGAACTGCTGAGCCATCTGTTCAGCCCCTTGGTTTTTAGATTTCGACAGCTGGGGACAGATAGTAGGGCTTCCCAGAGTTATAATCCCTAGCCTCTCTCCTTGGAACCCAAGAGATCTATGGAGGAGGGCAGTAGGTACGAATGTTTGTGTGAACTTTCTGTGCTGGGCCAAGGCAGAGGGAACTCTGCAGGAGCTTTGCTCTGTCTCATTGTTGGCACATGCCAAAGAGAGAAGTGTCAAACCCAGATCCATACTTGCATGCTCGGAAGAGGAAGGAGGGGGTTGCCTTTAGGTGTGAGCTCATACTGAGCCCAGGCACTTTTATGCCCACCGTCTTCTTAACAAGCCAGGGAACTAGGTATTATCACACCCAACTTATAGATGAGGAAGCTGAGGAGGTGAGCTAATTTTCAAATTTTAATAAAACTGAAAAATAGAAAGCCAAAATTTAAATCCAAGTTAACCACCTGCAAGATTCCCTGTGCCCTTGTTGCCTTCTCAGCAGGCTGTGTCCCCAGAGAACTCACTCGTGTTAATCCTAAGCAACCTTCTTACTTGGGCCACTCTCCCCAGTTTGATGTATGAGGAGAGATTTGGCAGAAGTCTCCTGTTGTTCTTCTCTCCTGTACTTCCTATGATGAGACCCTTCTCTCTTACCCTGTGCCCCGACTTCTCCCTCTCGTCCAGTCTCCAAGAAAGGCCCAGGAGTCAAGAATCTCAATAAATAAAGAGAGCTCCCTGCCCCTTTAGCTACTGACCCAGAAATCCTGGTATACAACACACCAAAGAAAAGATATACATACAATTCTGCTCCAGAAGACCACATAAACTGTCAGTCTTTGGAGATGTTAGAAGCCTCAAAATATAATTTCCAGATTGCCTGCTTTACAACTAAGAAAAATGGAGAGCCAAGAAGACGAACAGACACACACAAGGCCACATGCTAGTTAGAAGCAGTGTGAGCTGGAGCCCAGGTACCAAGAGAAGGCTTCAGCTTTTCCCAACCTCATGGGATGATGGCTCTCTCTAGAGGAAGGCTCCCAGTCCAGATCTATACAAAGCCCAGAAGCCAGGGCCTCTCTTTGACCTCTGCTTTGATCTGCTCACACTCCTGTTGAAGAACAGGAAGGGCTTCATCTTTCAACTCTGAAAGCGCATTTTGAGAATGGGAAGGGGGGTTGGGGGAAAGGCCTCCCATACTTGATGGCTAAGAGTGAGCAATAGTTTACTCTTGCTTAGAGAAAAGAAAGATGTAAGATCAGAGATTTAAGGAAAAGATACAAGTTGATATTGAGCCCTAAGGCAGAATGGGATCTCAGGAAGAGCATCCTCAAGCCCCAGGGTGGATATGAGACAGGGTTCTTTCTTCTCTGCCAGTTCCTTCTCTGTTCTGATAGAGCTGGATGCCAGGGAGGAGAGAGTGGGGTTGAAGTGGAAGCATGGGGGGAGGGGTGTCAGGAACTTTGTACAACCTCCAATATTTCCCTCACTCTGCTAGCACCCACAACTTCCCCTGCTAGGGGAAGAAAGAGGAATGAATTCTTCAGTTTAATAATTCATACAAATTGAAAAGTTTACTATGTGGAATAAAGGGACCATAGAGGGCAAAAGAGAAACATCCCTGTGTTCTCTTTGAAAGGACAGAGGTATGAAGAAGATGTTTCTGATTACCTTGCTTTAGAATATAGATGATCCATGTGAAATAAGCAAGTAACTACCCCCTTCAATGGTAGGTAGCTCCCTCCATTCAAAGGTACATAGCCCCCCCCCCTTCAATGGTAGGTCATCCCCTCCCTTCAATGAAAGGTAGCCCCCTCCCTTCAATGGTAGGTAGCCCCTCCCTTCAATGTTAGGTAGCCCCTCCCTTCAATGGTAGGTAGCCCCTCCCTTCAATGGTAGGTAGCCCCTCCCTTCAATGGTAGGTAGCCCCTTCCTTCAGTGGTAGGTAGCCCCTTCCTTCAGTGGTAGGTAGCCCCCTCCCTTCAATGGTAGGTAGCCCACTCCATTCAATAGTAGGCTGCCTTCCCTTCAGCGGTAGGTAGTCCCCTCCCTTCAATCGTAGGTAGCCCCTTCCTTCAGTGGTAGGTAGTCCCTCCCTGTAATGCTAGGTAGCTCAGAGTCCAGGAATCTTTTTCACAGAGCAGGTCTTGTTTAGGAATCAATCTTCTTCAGCCCCATCTACCCAGCTAATGAGATTTTACCTAAAAAGCTGGTTTTATAGCAAAGAAAACTGAGGTGAAAAAAAAGGGGGGTTGGTAGCAATACCTGGGCTAGAATCCAATCCTCTCCTGCTGGCATAGTACCTGTGGCAATATCCTCACCCTGGCTTCTCACCTCTCCGCTCTCCAGGCAACTAAAACATCATAAAAGCCAGACAATCCCTCAGAGGAATCGGCACCCAGGAGCTTTGACTAAGTCCTTGGCTGATAAATGAAGGTCATTTAAGGGCATCTCAGAAAGCTGTCTTCTGTGTCCTTGTGCCTTACGAGCTGAGGGCCTCTGAGACACACTACCCAGCTGTTCTGGAAAGGGCTAGCTGGCTCATGGAAGCCGTCTGTACAAGTGACAGAAACGGAGTGAGGTAAGGGGAAGGGTCCCTGCGGATGATGAGGTCTGGGAGCTAGCAGAAGGCTAGACCCCACGAGGCTCCAGGTCACACTAAGACCTTTGGCTTTTTATCTGGAGTCACTACTGGATTTGGTCCGTGTCATAATCAGACACTTTCTTGGAGGTCTTTATGCAGTGGTGAGGACTAGACTGTTCAGGAAGATTGTCCTAGGCAAACAGCCTAGGTGGGCCGCACACGCCTGCTTCTGCCTCTCAAGTGCTGACGTCACAGGCACACACCACTGCACCTGGTGTGTGCACGTTATACGTGGCACGGGAAGAAGAAGGAATCCAAAGAGGAGGATTTCTAGCAATTCAGAAGGAAAAAGACAGTGGCTTAGACCCAGGAGGTCAGAAAGTAGGTGGCGAGAAGCCCTTGGATTTTGGATTTAAAAAAAAAAAATCAACTGGCCAGAGAGAAAAGAGACTGGGTAGTAAACAGTGGGGTGACCAAGAAAATTGGGAGCAAGGAGAGTTCTAGAAGCCATGAGGACAGAGGGTTTCCGGGGAGAAGGAGTGATGGGGATGAGTGTTGAATGTAAACCCTGGAAGACACTGGTACCCACGGCAGGAGCAGCACTTGACTCCTAACATCATGGAGTCCTGGTCGGCCTACCGACTATCATCGAGGGCTCCTTTATTGTGAGTCTTGCCTTCTCAATTAGGCTGCAAACTTGGTTACACCACGAATGATGAGTCAGCCTGTTCCCAGAGCACCAGGTCCTTGGCAGCCGTGGGGGCCTTATCGAGCCTGCTGTAGGTTCTGTGTGGCTTGCCAGCTCGCTCTGTCACCAGGGCAATGGCTGGAGCAATTATCCTTGTGCTCGCTTACCTTGGACACAGCATTTCAGCTCCTTTGGGTCTATGACGCTCCTCCTGCTTTCCCGAATCACAGCCCGGTTCTTCTTGGTTTCTCCCCAGAGATTGGTGCCTCCGTACATGCTGGGAATGTTCAGAATGGCAATGCCTTCCAGGAAGATGTTGCTCAGGTCCACCTTAACTCCATCACACTGCCAAGCAGAGAGAAAGCAGATCACAGTGGGGCTGGGTATGGCAGGGCTTCTTAAAGGGTGTGGCTGCTCCTCAGCCACTCCACCACGGCCTCTGAGAAGCTGAATATCTCTCTGGCAACTTCTTAGAATTAAGGCTTTGAACACTGTAGTGAGATGGAGCCATCTCATCCTGGTTGGCTCCAAGAAAGACAGCAGAGAATTCCCAAAGGGCTAGAAACGCTTATGGGTGCAATTTAGATGAAGGCAGTTGCCAAACTCCTATCCTCAGTCTGGATCCTTCCTAATCACAGTGAAGGAAGATCTGCTACGTCACTGGGTCCAGAAACTGCTATCAGGTAGATTGTCGACAAATAACAATTTTTCACGTTACCCCTTTATTTTATCCTCTCTGGGGAGAGGTGCCAGACGCTCAGGTTTGGGAGAACTTCCAATCTGTCTGTCTCTCAGAGCTCCGTAAGTGTGGCTCTGGCACAGGAGCTTGCTGACTGCTGCGGCTGAGCTACTTCGTCTCGTCTCTGCCACCCCCAGCCCCCAGGGGGTTTGAAAGGTTGGAAGACTTGAGGCTGTGTGCCCCATCTAGCTGCAAATCCTTTTCTGGTAAGACGCTTACCCGTGCAGGGAAAAAAACGCACTAGCTTTGATTCTTGTTCCTTGAGATGATTGGTAACTTATTTCATTTGCAGAACAAATGGGACCCAAATAGATATCCTATATTACCCAAGAATGCATAGGTAAATCCCACATTTGTGGAATTGGACTATAATTTTTTTTCTTTTCCTTTCTTTCTTCTTCTTTTTTTGCTTCTTTTAAGAAAGGCAAACAGCCGAAAGCAGACAGTAATGATCTGCTGCCACCTGGGTTGCCTCCTGCTATGGTCTGAAGGCCTCCATCTAATTCCTGGTGGGTTAATTCCATTGTCATGGTATTACGAGGTGGGGCCTAATTAGGATTAGACGAGCATGGAGCCCTGTGATCTCATTAGCCCCGTCGGGAAGGGGAAGGAAAGCACAGTGCTCTTGTGCTGCCTCCAGAGAAAGGCCAGACCACGTGCAGCCCCTTGGCCCTGAACCTGAATGGTAAGGACCAAAACATCTGTCACTTCCGATTTGCCCAGTTTGTGGTAATCAGGAACAACAGAAAATGACCTAAAAATACACAGAAATCAAAGTTTCTGAGTCTTGGCCAGAGGAGGAAGAGAGAGCTGGAGCAGTGACTCACTGCCTGATTTCTTTGAAGTTCCTAATCAGTGTTGCCACCTTCTGACTTGGTCCCAGCCAGAGAATAAGAATACAGTGAGCTTTTCTGGTAAGTGGGAACTCATTTCTGCACTGGGGAGTTTGGATCCTCTGAAAGCTCTCTTAAGTGGGTATGGATTTGTTCTTCTGGTTTCCTCCATTGGGCCTATCCTTCTTCTTGGAGCTAGATGGCACGGCCTTCCTCCTCCTTACATTCAGCCAATCCAATCAGCACATCCCAGAGAGAGGCTCATCATTACCACGGTGTATATGGGGTCTGTGGCTGGGGCTCAGTGAGCAGTGTGCCAACCTGGTATGCACAACACCATCCCGAGCAGTGCACACACCGGGCACACGGCAGAGTGATCAGGGGGGTCTGAAGTTCAAGGATGTCCTTGGTTACACAGTGAGTTCAAGGTTCGTGTGGGATGCATTAGACCCTGTCTCAGTCTCAAAACAAACAAAGAGAAAACCCAAGAAAACTTCCACCAGCACCACCACAACCACCACAAGAAAATCCATTTAAACAAAAACTAAAAACCAAAAAACCCCAAGGAACTGATTATTGTCACACCATCCCGTCAGTTACAATGGCTGCTGTCCTTGTGTATCTGGGAGAACGGAGGCACAGAGAACAGAAGCTGAGTACGTTGTTTGCCATTGCACAATGTACAGATGGCAGTGTACGAACTTCAAGGTAAGATTTAACTATTTTATCTCCCTCTCCCTCATCTGGCTGTGCAACCCCTGGGCTGCGTGTGGCCAGGGCTTTGAACCTCCTTTCCAGACTTTTCTTATTTTGACTGTTACAGTTTGCACACACCACAGTTGATGACCTGACTAACTGGTAGCATCCCTGGCATAGAAAACAACGGCACTAACACGATTCCGTCGGACAGGTGGCAACCACACCACTGTCTCTTGGAGCTGGGATTCTAGCACATTATCACGCTCATAAAACAAGACATGGACGAAGCACCTGGAAGAGCAGAACATGCTAACTACCATCGTTTCTCTCATTCATGTGCTATGACCCTCACCAGCTCTTTCATTTGAAGCTAAATGATACTGTCACATCCACTGGGATTTCTGTCACCCTGACGCTCATCTCTTGACCTTATGCAGGATTGAAAAATGTGTGTGAATTTTCCAAGGCCTTTAAGTTCTTCATCGCTCTACCTTAGCCATGGCGGGGACACTAGCATCTGTTTCCCCGTTTTTAATTTAGAGCCTGTCTCAGTTCAACACCCTGTTGCTCTGATAAACACTGTCCAAACTAAGCCCAGGAGGAAAGAGTTAACTTGGCTTACACATCCCGGGCCACAGTCCATCACTGAGAGAATTCAGGGCAGGGACTCAAGTCAGGACCTGGAAGTAAGAACTGAATCAGAGGCCACAGAGGGATACTGCTTACTGGCTTGCTCTCCAGGGCTTGCTCAACCTGCCCTTCTTATATAATCCGGACCTTCTGCTTACGGGTGATACCAGCCACAAAGTGCTGTGTCCTCCTACATCAGCCATCAGTCCAGACAATACCCCACCGACCCAATCTGAGGGAGGCAGTTTTGATAGGACGGGTTCTCCTTCCCAGGTGCTTCAAGTTCGTGTCAAGTTTATAAACTTTCACCGGCAGAAAGCCACTAGCGATGCGGAAAAGAAGAAAACCTCTCGGAGGGCAGAGGTCTACTGAACTATATGTCTCATGTTTTGTTCTGTTCTCTTCCGTTGCTTTGCTCCACACATCAAGTCACGTTCTCCTCCGCTACAGTTTTCCCAGAGCCAGGCTTCTAAACCGGAGGTGTTCTCTGTGCACGTATTCCTGGGCGTGGTTTCATGTTGCCTCTGTGTCTCTGTGTCTCCGTGTCCAGTCCCCCTTAAGGCGTGGGCTCATCCTGGCCTCCCTGTTGCTGTCTCGGTGACTTGGGAACAGCAAGAGCCCCTTCCCCCTTTTCTTCTCAATGTGGTTAGTGATCTGTTAAGAGTTTATCTTGCAGAGTGTTCTTATTGGTCCACTCTTCCTCCGCTATTACTAAGTAGGAATTTAGGCTCTGGGTCACTGTGCCAAACTTGTCTGCTGCCCTCAGCTCTGTCCCTGGAACTGTCCTCGTCTTGTATCCCTTCCTGAATCCAAAGGCTATCCCTCTCCCTGGGTGGAGTAACTTCCACAGCACCTCTCTGTATTCATCACTGACTGAAATAGCTCTTCCCTTCTGAGAAGTAGTAACAGTCAGAGCTACCCTTGGTCAGACTTCCTGGGGCACCAGGCTGGCCTTCGCCTACAGTGCCTCTTAGGATCCTGATGGTGAGGGAGATGCCACTGCTGTCCCAACGGATGGTGAAGCCGCTGGCTCAAGGTCACGGCACAGATGCAGATGGAGGTTGCCAATGCAGGCACTGGATGCCAGATTCCACTCTGAGATGAGGTGGTGAAGCTGATGCTGGGATTTACAGCAAAATTCAGCTTGCAGCTGTTGTTTGAATAATCGACTCCCCCACTGCCGTTCTATCTTAGAAGGGCTTAGACATTAGTGTTATTAAATCCCATCTCTAGGCCAGATTTGTTTAAAAACAACAACCCACAAACCCAAGAACTATACCCCCAGCACTCTCCCCGACAGTCAACCTTTCTTCCTTGCTGGCAGCCTTAAATGTTAAGTGTCTGTCCTGCAGCCATAACCACCGAGGAGTGTTAAGTGTTGCTGCCTCCCTAGAAGAGCAACCGCCCCCCCCCACCGCCCCGTCTGCTCTTGCTAGACTGTTCTCTCCCCTTCTCCACCCAAGGTAAAGTGGGGCAAAAAAGAGAGGTGGGAAGACTCTGAGGAGTCTTAACACTGAAGTCTCTAGCCAACCTTGAAAAGAACATCTTTGGGTTCAGAGAGAGGGATTTAAATCCCTGCTCTGTTGTGAGACCGCTGTGTGATTCTGGGTTGGTCCTTAATCTCTTTGAGCTTTAAGTAGTCACCTGGAAAAGGAGGGAGGGGGAATAAGAAAGTTTTGGTGGGAGCTTTACCTCCTGCTTTATCTGAGTCCGGTGTCCCCCCTCCCACCCCTCCCCGTTCCCTGACTTTGGTTGGAGCAGTTTAAAACTACCCTCCTCTGCACACCAGTCTCCTAGCCACTGTCTCATATTTCCTTCAGAACTCCCTGAAGATGCAAGGCTTGCTGTATTGACTGAGCCTGAGAAATTGGAGTCAGGAGTGTCGCACTGTAGGCCTAACTGGAACACAGGACGCACGTCCTATTCCCCAGCGAATGCCTCCGTGTTCCATGACGTCATCCCGCTCCCTCCCGGGTAGCTCCAGGGAGAGCCTGGAGGCCTCTTCCTGGCGCCCTGAGCTAGGCTGGGGCTGGCAACCTCTGCTATGACTCCTGCCTGAGCTGCACCCGCCCCAGCGTTTACATCCATGCATGTGGCTCAGACTCACACTCAGATCGGTCTCGACGGGGTGCTGCCACCAGCAGCAGGTACGACAGGGGCCACCGAGGCCAGCACAACTCCTGCCTCGGGGAACCCCGGTTGTCTGTTGTGGTTCATGGCGTCCCCGGCACCCATAGCTCTGGCTTCTTCAGAGCAGGGATGGTTCTTTTGGATAGAAGGTCGTTGTGTAGGCAACCAGAGACTAGGTTAAGAGGCCACAGGCTTTGACGAGCAAATGACTAAAGCGCTCAGGATTAGTGTTCGCCCTTCCCCAACCCAATGCTTTGGATCGCAGCAATTCTGGGCCGAACCTAGACTTTCTCAGTTCTCGTCTTTGCTGAGGA